TATATATATATATATATATATAATCCAAAAAATAATATATTTTTACAAATAAAAGTTATATTCTAATAAAATAAATAAATATATTTAAGTTATCATATGTATAAAATATTAATTTAAAAAAGGTGTTTATTTATTTGATATTTATCAAATTTTTGAAGGAGATTAGTTCTCATATGTGATAAAGAATATTTCTTAATAATGAATTAATTTTTTAAAAAAGTTTATAAAATTTACAGCATATATGTTACCTTTTGTGCTTTTTATTTATGTATACATTGATTAAAAAAAATTAAAATAGTAAAGATTGTAAGATTGTATATGTTGATTAAAAAATCAAAATGGGAAAGATTGAAAGATTTATGTTCTATTTAGAGTTTTTATTATAAAATATATTTTGAAATAAATTATCATCTAAAATATTATATTAGATATTGAAAATATGTTTATATTATAAATAAATTAAACTTAATTTTTCATTTAATATATTTATTTTTATATTTTTATTAGTATTAAATTATTATAAAGTATATTTTTAGGATTTGTACTTCTAACCAAACATTTAAAAAATGTCTTTGATAGATAAATAAGTTATATTTAAGATATGTATTTTAAAAAAAGGTTTGGTTCAAACATACTAAATTATAATATAACATAGTTTGACTGAAGTTATTTTCATCCTTAATCGTAATCATAAATATAAAAGCTTGTAAAAAATAATTAACTTTTACTATCTAAAATTTTTAGATCCGTCACTGTCATATTATTAGTATATTCTTTTTTTATTGGATCATATTTGTTTGTTGGTAACATCAATTGTCTCATGACGAAGACTTAGGTAAATTGAATCATAATCGATACACATGGTGCTTGGACTGCTACACTTAAAGTAGAAAAAGTTGCATCCTAACTAGCTTATGGCCTAATAATAAGTGCTCGTGTGTTCCATTTTCAGTGAGAACAATTGTTAAGGGGGAGATTATTTGTTGAGTAACATTAATTATCCCGTGACAGAAACTTAGGTGAGTCGAGTCACAAGCAAGACACGTAGTGTTTGGCTTTTGCCCTAATGATAAGCATTCATAATGTTCTTTTCTTTGCAATGTTTTGTTGAGAATTTAATTTTAATATCGTTTCAAGTTAGAAAATTTTACACTTTTATCTAATTACATATTTATAGATAATTAATCACATTAAATACTATAATGATAAATAATTAAATTATAATCACTTCTTCTCACGGTAAAGCTTTAACATTTAAAAAATGTTGTAAGAAGAAATGATATTTTTTCACTTTTTAATATATTATTAATTAAAAAATTATAACTTATCTTTTCATAAATTATTTAATTATCACAATTAAAAATAATGATAGCAGTGACTAATTTTCTCATTACGTTGGAGACACCTCAAATGGTGGGATAGTTGGCCTCAAGATTTAACGCGGCTACATACACAAGGCATGACTCGAACCCCTGATCTTGCTTAAGCGTGAATCAATCTCTACCGCTAAACCACACGCTTGGGATTATTAAAAATAATGTGTTTATTGATGAAATGAATTATTTTAATAAAATTTTAACAAAAAGTGATACATTTATAGTATTTCTTAATCTATGTATAAAAATATTAAAATATAATCATTAAGAGACAGAGATAATAATATAATAATATTTATTGTGAAAATGATTACGTATTAAATTATTTTCAATAAACTTCGGTTATATTTCATATGATTTAATATATTTTTAGTATTTAAAGCACTACTGTTTTTGTTTTAGTTTTATAAAAATATTTATTTTAATTTCTATATTTAAAAAATGTTGTAACTTTAGTTTTCCGCATTGATTTAAGACACAATTTTGTTTGTAAGTTTGAAAAATTAAAAATGAATAAAATTTTATAAAATTCAAAACTAAAAGATATCATATTTTTAAAGGAATAAAAACTTATTTAAAACTCCTATATCTATAAAAAATATATATATATAAAAACAATAGTATATTTTTATGTACACAACTTTTTTGGAGTATCTTATTCTTTTAATAATTACTTTACATTATTTTTCTAATTATCTTTATTTTTAAATTTTTATTCTTTTTTTACTCTTACATGAATCTCTGATTAACTACTCATTTTGATTATCTCTTTTACTTTTTTAATAATAAAATACGGAATATCTCTTTATCACTATATATTATGATATAAAATTGATTGCCTTTAATTTTTCACGTAAATTATGGACATCTCATTGCATTTAAGTATTTGTAATTAACCAAATATGATATGAGTTCATTGGCATTAGCAATAGCAAGTAGTAAATCCTTGCTCTGTCAAAAATATATTCCATGCATTCAATATTTACTTAAAAGAGGAATCTATATAGTTATATAAAAAATATTCCTTTTTGTAACGCTTCGATCTCCATTTTTATCATGTTTTATTTTATTCATATGTTTAAACTATTCTTCTCTCTCAATGTACTTTCTTTTTTTCTTCGAATCACTTATTTATTTTAAGACTTAAGTAACCACTTTATGATTTATTTTTATTTATTTTAAAAAAATAAATAGTTACAAAGTGTCTCTTTCTTCTTAGTAATAATAATATATAAAAAGAAAAACATCAATTCATGCTTCTTTCTTTATGTAAAGAAATACAGTACAGTTCGTATTAAATGGATTTCATTTCTTTTTTGCATTAAAATCAACTGGTAAAAATCAATATTACATAAACTATTTACAGCGGAATGTCTTTTAAAGTTAATATTATTTATTCTTACCAAGAACAAAAAATGTATAAGCTTTTATATGTTTTTTTTTTTAATGAAACTTTGAACTTGAGAAAAGTGAGTATAATCACATTCACATGACACATGGAAAGAGAAATTGAGTACCGTGGAAGGTAGTTGTGCACAACCAAAATGACAGTTGCAAACCCATGTACAAGCAACGTTGCTAGTTTAAATTTAATAATAAAAGAAAATAAACCCAAAGATTGTTACGTTATTATATTATTCATTATACTTTGTACCCTATAGTCTACAATATTTATAAAAGAATGCGACTTTACACACTTATATATATATATATATATATATAATTCTAACATGAAATAGTATAAAATGTGATATATGGATGAAATATTAATTTTTTATTATTGAATTTAATAATATAACTTGTTTCGAGTTCTAAAGAGGATTCTGATGTGGAGAGTGAGATCATTGATCTTGAGGGCATTGTTGGTAAAGCTCCTTCACAGAAGTTGGTGACTAATAGAGAGGAGAGTAATGGGAAGGGTCACTTAACATGAGTATATTTGGTATTGCAAAATTAGGAATAATTTATATTATTTAAAACTATTAAATATAAGGACTATTTTGTAATTATAAACAAGTTACAGAACTTACTACTCATCAATATATGTATAGGACAAAAAACATAAAAACAATTCCTACTCATCAACTAGAAAACATAAATCTCCTTGCGAGGTTACATACATACATATATATATATATATATATATATATATATATATATATATATGAGGGGATTATAATAACACCGGTGTAACTTTTACTAAGTGTTACACTACTCAATAACTTTATATTAAATGCGAATTTTGTAAATCCAACCGTTAGATTGAAAGTTCATATCACTTAGATTATATATACAAAATTTAATATTAATCCAAGATGATTTGATACTTCATTTTTATAAAAACAAAATTGACGTAATATATTCATTTCAAAATATACTAAAATATGAACACTTTGATCACCTTCAAATTATTGTTCAATTTTAACAAAATTTGATATACACATATAAAGTGATATGAACTTTCAATTTAACAGTTGGATTTACAAAATTCACATTTAATATAAAGTTATTGAGTGGTGTAGCACTTGGTAAAAGTTATACCGGCGTAATTATAACCCATATATATATATATATATATATATATTACACAAATAAACAATTGTATGAAAAATATTTGTAATTGTCAGTCAAACATACATACAACAATTATGCTACATCGGAGTAACATCACCAAAACTAGGTTATCACCAAGATGACCTTCTCCAGGCTAACCAAACAACCTATTAATCTTGTCATCCTCTCATATTAAGTATGATCATTACAGTTTCAACTACAAGGGAAAGAAAGGATAAACTTGTGAAATATACAACTTAACAGTTCAATAGCAATTAATTGAAGAAAACATCAACTGAAATCACTCACCGATGATTTAAAGAAAACAACTGAGTTTTATCAACTAGTAGTTGATCATCATACAAACACCTTCAAATACATCTCAACACTTTCACAACTTTCAACATTTCAAATACAAGTCACACAATGGAGCAATTTAGAAATCATCATTAATAATTGCTAAACAACTTAACAACAAATGTGACATCACGCATAACATCTATTAGAAATCTCCTATAAATTAGAAACAACAGTTGATGTAAATCAA